GTTTAGCATCTCAACCGATTTGAATCGTCACATATTTGAATCGATTTTCAACTGGCTCGCGGTTAATCGTTACATCCCTACCCAACACTACACACATCTGAATATTTGGGTTGAAGTGCTCTGGAACAGTGTTGTAAATACAACTTAACCACTGATTTCTAGTTGTGTCCTCTTTTGGAAGGAAAAACAAAGTAGTTTCGCTTTCACAACGAAACACAGCGTCTCCACATCATGGCGGCGGCGGCGGCAACAACAACAACAATACTACAGCGAGAATAAAAGATATGCCTTCTTTCTTTGAATGAACATTTGGGCAGTCTTATGCAAATCTTCCCACACAGTGACGTAGACATGTGGGGGCGTGTTTAAACGAGGCGTTTTAGGAAGGCGTGGACGAGTCTTAACTTTTTTTAAAGAATATCTCTTTAGGTTTGAGACTTTAGTCTTTGCAATTTTAGGGATCTTATCAATGCACGAACAGCTTGTAACACTCCAAAGAGAAAGGAAAACTTGAAATTGCGTCATATGACCTCTTTAATGTTCAAAAACATATTACTTGTAAAGTGCTGCAAAGAACCACTGAAGAAGTTTTATTTTTCAAATAAAAGTGTTGTACAGCCATTACAATGTATTGTGGTAGTTTGAACAACAGGGTTTTAGATAGTTCTCTGTCAAACTCACCTGTTCTGTACAGCTTTGTTGAGTACTGGTTGCCTTCTGTCCAAGGTGAGCCCATCCGGCCCATTGACCCTGCAGCCTGGGTGTCCCATACAGCAGCCATGACGGGCGTCTATCCTCCCTACGGCATGAGTCCTTCAATGAGCACAGTCACCTCCACCAGCTCTTCCATCTCCAGCTCCATCCCAGAGACTGAGAGTGAGACATCTGCTTCAACAACTTTACATTTCTTTGCTAAAGCAAAATTTTGACCCCTAAATTTTGTGGAGTTCATCCCACAACAGTTGTTATGGGCATGAATGATCCCTTAAATCCTGTGGCTTGTTGAGGAAAGGTGTTCCATTTTCTAAGTGATCAAACTTACTAGTTGACCTGGCAATGGGTAAAAAAAAAAATCCCATTGACTTCTATTGAGAGGACTTGAGTCATATCTAGATACTTGTGTGTGGAACGTGGGAGGTCCTGGTTTCTCGCCACCAGGCAGATGCTATGTGTTTTGTGCTCTTGTTAACTGTGTGTTGTACTTCTCGCAGGATTTGATGACTACCACCTGTCTGTCCACAGCGACATGGCAACAGTTGCAAAAGCAATGGCCTGTCCAGACTCAGGACTGGAAGTTCGAGACAGAATGTGGCTGAAGATCACTATAGCCAATGCTTTCATAGGTCAAGACCCACTTTATAGTGCTTACAATTAGTAAAGGTGTTTTTAAATGATTTATTAGTTGATCTTCATAATTGTACCCTGTATATTATCTAAAAGTCAGCATGAAACTGAAACTTTGATTGATTTGTCCATTTGGAACATTTATCGGAGTGATAAAATGAAGAATGAGAGAAAATGTTGGATGGGATTTGTTTTCGTCCATCAAGAATTGATTGGATATTTTGATCACAGTTGTTTGCTAACTGCTGTGATCTCATTTGAATGACAAGTTCCTGGATTAGAGGGATTATTGTAATTGTAAAGTATGTAAAGACAATTTATCTGTTTTTTTTTGTTTGTTTTGTTTTTTTGGTAAATGCGTGTTATTGGTCTTATTGTGAGCGATCAATCCATGTATACATATAATTTTTTTTTTTTTTCATCTTGTAATGTTTAATCAAAATGTCATAACTTTATCTTGCGGTAAAATGACAGACTTCTCCAATGATTTACAGTTGTCCGTTTAAACCCCGTCCCTCTATAATCGACTGCAAGCCCACATCTCATAATCCAGTCAACAACCGATGGATAGAACCAAGTCCCCGTCCTGCATTTTCCTGATCATTTCTATAATCTGTTACACTCAGATAATTTGCTTCACAATAGGGAATAAAAATAAACACATTTTAAAATCATTGTAATTTTAAAATAAATATTAGCAAACCGCTTCATGGAGCTGCTATATCTAATTGGTGCATATGTTGTCTTACAGGCTCTGATGTGGTTGACTGGCTGTTTCATCACGTGGAGGGGTTTGCAGATCGCCGTGAAGCACGAAAGTACGCCAGCAACCTGTTGAAAGCCGGCTTCATCCGCCACACTGTCAACAAAATCACCTTCTCAGAGCAGTGCTACTACATCTTTGGAGATCTTTCTGGCAGTAAGTACTTTCACCACTACAGTTCATTTTCTGTTTATGTAGTTGTATAAATATTCTAGTGCTGTTTGGTGTAGTCCTGTCAGTACAAGGAAAAATTATATTTGTAGCTCTCCAGAGCCTAATACATCATTTGTCCCAGTGAGTTTAGTCATCTTTATTACCAGCACTGTTAGTGTTAAATTTGTCAGCTGTGTTTTTTTTTTTTTTAAATTTAGACTTTGTTCTGTGTCAAATGTCCTTTTTAGTTTTAATCATATTTAGTCATTCTGTCCTGTTTTTTGTTTAGTCAAGTTGTAGTTGTCTAAAAGTCTGGGAACTTTAGTCTAGGTTTAGTTGATTAAAATTTTTAGTCATGATATGATTGCATAATTGTCAAACTAAATCACAATTATTTTACTCAAAATTGTAATTGCGATTACTGATCATGACCGTTGTCGTTTGAGAAATGCACCAGAATTATTGCGCTTTCACCTTAATGCATACACATGGTTTATTTTACCTCATCTAGTTTCCTGATTTATTATATTATTAATATAAACACACTCTCATTATGAAAACTGTTAAAACTAAAAAGCTTCTCTCAAAACAGTATCATTTCTAATATTAATTCTAGGGATGCACCGATACCGATACTGGTATCGGTATCGGGCGAGTACTGGAAAAAGTGGTATCGGTGCATCCCTAATTAATTCCAATAATTCCAAATTATATTCATGTCTTTCTATTAAAACAACAAAAAATACTTTCATTTCAGCAGAATATTTCGATTGTTGATCACTAAACTCAACATACAAGTTTGTCGACGTTTCCATATCATCAGTGCTTTTTCCGTAGTGTAAGAGAGAATGAACCGTTGCCAGGTTGTGAAGATAAAGAAGAACACAGGGCGGAAAATGTGTCCTTTTTAAGAGAGAAGCTCTGATAGGGGGATTTAAACTCTTGACATTTGGCAACCCCAAGCATGGAAACATGTTGAGGTTGATATTTTTTTCTCCTCTTTATTTGGTTTAAGAAAGTGTTAACATCTTTTTTTTTTTTTTTTTGGTCAACAATAATGCAAGTTGATATAGTCAGAGGTTTTAATGATGTCATTGTCATTTCAACTTAAATGGTCATCAGCAAATATTTTTCGTTAACGAAATAGTCACTGTACATTCAGTTTTACATTGTGCTGACACTCTTATCAACGTTGACTATGTTTTGTTGTAGACATGGCCCATCTTTCACTGCATGAGCATGACGGATCCAGCGGGGCGTCTGATCAGGACACTCTCGCTCCATTGCTTCACCCTGCTGAAGCTCCCTGGCCCACCGCGTTCCCTTACCAGTACCCACCAGCCCATTCCCTCCCGGATGCAGCTCACAGCTACTCTGAAGCCGGTGGAGGCAGCGCAGGCAGCCAGCACAGCGAAGGTGAGTAACCTCAAATCACGCTGCTAACAATCTCAAACAGCGGCTCACTTACGCTAGCGTTACTGTCCGTAGGGAGCAGCGGTTCAAACTGCAGCTGGAGCCGGACTGAGGGGAAAACCACAGCTGGAGACTTCAGGTTAGGAGGAGGAAGCGAAATGGGAGACGCACATGAGTTTGACTTCCGCAGAGACAGAGCCCCCAGCGAGCGCTCGGTGCCGCCCAGTGAGGGCAGTGTGCGAAGCTCACGATCTCACAGCTACAGCCTGAAGCAGGGATCTGCACGAGCCGGCCCGGGGTCGCCGTCCGGCCGCCACCTCGCCATCATCCCCGCCGAACTCACGGGCTCCCGACGCTCGTGCAACACAGCCAATGGGGAGTTCTTTGTCGACATCATGTGACTGTTGCTAGAAGAAGTGCCCAAACTATTTTTTTGCCTTATAAATTACAAAAAAAGTGGCCTACTAGTGCAGCCGATTAGAATTAGGATTAGTGCTGACCTAAAATTCAGTAGCTTGTGAGCCCCAACATCACTTAGGTCTTAGAAATGAGTCTACTAAAGCATAAGCAAACGGTTCATGCTTACAATAACAGATTAAGATGTTTTACTAAATGTACAAATTCACCTCAAAATAGTTGGGAAATGTTCTGTTGAAGAAAATGGAACCATTTCCTCTTATGGACAAAAAAGAGTGTTTTTGAGAGAAATAGCAATAATTGAATGGGATTTAGTTACAACACTATATGGGTGTGAAGATTCAAGGTGAATGTAGTCCAACCAAGGACGTAAATGTCAGATTTCAACATTTCTGTTGGCCTGTTTTAGTGCGTATTTGGAGGTTCTTAAGCCCTTTTTTTACTCTCAGTCTCATGCAGATATTTCATTATTCATGGAAATTGTTTTTACTGAGAATATATTTTTCAGTGTTTGTCAGCAATATTGTATTGGGAGGATTTTTGAAGTACCTTGTTAAGGAGATTTCTTTTTTTAATTTATAAATATAGTTTTATTGTGACATGCTTGGAGTACTCTTTTGTCTGTGTGTGTTTTATGGGTTCAGCTTGTGGAATGTGAAGGTTCTCGTCTTCATCTGGAATCCAGATGTTTCTGGGTTTATGTCTCTGTCCACATCTGCTTCCATTGTTCATCGGCTAATGTTCACCAACCTTTTTTAAGAGCTTAAAAAGGTCGTCTCGCAACTATTGAATGGTAGTATTGGTATTAATTTTGGGACAGTTTGCTTTGGAAGTCTTTAAAAGAACTTACTGCAGGCTAATATGTAGTGTTTTCTGGATAACATGAAGTTACAGGTGAGTAAATGAATTGAATATATTCAGTTTCTCCATTAACGCACCCCACAACAGTGCTCTTTAATTATGCAGCGTTAGGATGGCAAATGAGATAGACTTTATCTTTTGAAAGCGAGAAGAACTTTTTTTTTGTTTTTGGCACCAAATTGTCACAAATTAATTTAAAAGCTAGTCAAATTAGAATGATGCCAACAAAGGCATGACCTCATCCTTGAAAATCTGTAACAAAACTAATCCACCTTTTTCTTGTTGTAAAAATGGGCGCGGCCATTTGTAAATTCTATGGGTCTGGCTTCCGGTCTCATCTGCGTCCACTCCATCCAGCTATTTTTAGCTGAACAAAACAGTTCGTTTTGCTGCTTGATAATGAAAGTTTGTGCGTCTTATATTATTTTAATGTATTATCTTAATTATGAACACACTGGTTTGTAGTGCAAACAGTTTTACCGTTTACTGCACGTTGTTATTCTCCTCGTTATTTACCTATAGCGGCTAATGAACCGGAAGTCTCACCCATAGGCTTACTTCCGCGTTGAAGAAAAAGGTGGAAACGAACTATGTGCAACAAGTTTGAACTTGATTTGTCAACCACAATGTGTGTTGTGCAGTTATTAACGGCATTAAACCATCAAAATTCAGGAGACATTTAGGGACCAAACACTTAGTATGTTAGTGTTGCTTGATAGATTTTTTTTTTTTACAAATGTTTAATCACTCCTTCTAGACTAGTGTTCATTCATGAGTCAAATGCCACTTTATTAATCTTCATCACTGGAATTTGGAAAAATATTTTTCAAATTAAGTTTGACCTAATAATCTAAAATAAAAGTAAGTTTGGTCTTTTATTGACATTTGTTCTAATATAAATATGCATGGATACATATTATCCAGCGTATTTCTAATCTATTAAATATATGGACATGAAAATACAAGGACATTTGAGTTGGAATTATTTTATTTACTTGCAATTTTTTTTCAAGAAAAATATTTCAGGGAAAAATAATCGTACTAGCAAAAAAGACTGCATCAATATCCACAAAATGAAATATATTGTTAATCTGCAATCCAAGTACCATTATTATGATAATCTCTTCAGTGTTTTGCTTTGGTTGCCTGGATACAGCGTTCTAATTTATTCATGACGTCATAAGCAGAAACCGCAGAAAAAGACCGCGGTTTTCTCACCGAGTCATTTTCAACGAGAAAGCGACCGAGTAATTTCATATCCTTTATCCCTTATTTCATTACATATTTCCATAGGTCAGGCAAAGTGTATATTTCTAATGACTGCATTCGTTTCTAGAAAATATGTCTGGAAATGAATTACTATTATTAGGGTTGTATGTAAGGTTAATGTTTGTTAAATTCGTGCAGGATAAGTGACAGATAACTTATTTAAATTGTGTCTGTCTAGTATTTTCCGAAGAATAGTCTTGACTTGTTCGGCTGCATCTCAGGTAGAGAAAGTGAACATGACTATGTAGTTTTGGGTTTACTGGAGTTTGCTCTGTAAGTTATATACTTCAAACATGACTACAGCTAGCACATAGCATCTTCTAATAGAAATATCTAAATTAGCTTGTGCTTCATTCTTCACTGCAGGTCAGAACAACAACTCAACAGCCCTTGAAGGAGCATCTGAAGATGTTTTTGATGGATATTGGATGTTTTGCAACTGATAGACTCGTATCAGCAAATCCTACTATAAGATATTCATGGGTATATATTTTCTCTGTTCTTGTTACTTACTAACTAACCATCAGACGAAGAAACACTTTTAAACAAGCACCACAGAATGGGAACTAAAATAACACCCAATGTTTTTGCCCAATAGATGAGAAGAATGTGCCAACCAGGGGAAAAAAAGGAAAGTATCTCAAAAACAAAAAAGTAAAAACCGGCAAAATGAAGGTGAGTCACAATAGCAACAGTGAGGACACGGGAAGCGCAAATGAAAAATAATATACAGATAAGTAACATACAGATCAAACTCCAGTACAGAACTCAAAGGAATGTAATTTCCCATAGCAGATCAGAAACTGCATAAGAACACCCTTAAAGGAGCATCTGAAGAAGCTTCTAATGGCCAACTGATGAAGAGCTGCTTCTGTGTCAGCAAATCCTACTATATTGCATCTATAGGTAGGCCTATATATTTTCCCTCAAAGCTTTTAATGGTAACTTTCAATCATTCAAGCTCACCTTTAAACAAACACCTTACACACCTAATCATTTGTTGCCAATAATTCCATAGAAAAATGGAAATGCGACAAGCACAAATGAAACATGGGTAGATAGTAACAGTGAGGACACGGGAAGCGCAGATGATTAGAATGGAAACATTGAATCATTTTAACCTCTGATCCAAAGGTGAGAAAAATAATATACAGACAAACAACATACAGATCAAACTCCAGTACAGAACTCATGCAAAATAATATAATTTCCCATAGCAGATCAGAAAATGCATAACACCCTTAAAGGAGCATCTGAAGAAGTTTCTAATGGCCAACTGATGAAGAGCTGCTACTGCATCAGAAAATCCTATTATATTGCATCTATAGGTAGGCCTATATATTTTCTCTCAAAGCTTTGGATGGCAGCTTTCAACCAGAGGAGCTCACATTTAAACAAACACCTTTCACACCTAATCATTTCTTGCCGATAAATCCATAGAAAAATGGAAACGTGACAAGCACAAATGAAACATGGGCAGATAGTAACAGTGAGGACACACGGAGTGCAGATGATTCAAAAGGAAACCTTGAATCATTTTAACCTCTGATCCAAAGGTCAGAAAAATAATATACAGACAAACAACATTCAGATCAAACTCCAGGACGGAAGTCATGGTCATGTACTTCACCTGAGCCAAACAAGTCAACGTGTCCCGTGTTACTGCTGCTTTCACACTTATCTTATTTGGGGCAGAACAATCAAACCTTTCATTTTGTAGTGAGAAAGAAACAGTAGATTGGCGACAGACGCTAAAGATGATAACATTCCTGTTGCTCTGCTTTTTCAGTTTTTAAAAGTTTTTCTTTAATGGTCTAAACTAGTGGTTCTCAATTGTGGGGCCGGGGTCCACTAGGGGGCCTTAGCAAACTTCCAAGGGGCCACATCAAACTCTAATCCAAATTAAACTGAAATTATATTTCTTTTAAGTTATATTTCAATAACTATTGTTTATATTGAAGAACATAGCTTATTAAAAGAAATACCAATATAACTTCTGGAATCACCAACTGAAACATGCTTCATTGCTAAAAAAAAATTTTTTTTAAAGGGGTCATATGATGCTGCTAAAAAGAACATTATTTTGTGTATTTGGTGTAATGAAATGTGTTTTTATGCGGTTTAAGGTTCAAAAAACACATTATTTTCCACATACTGTACATTATTGTTTCTCCTCTATGCCCCGCCTTTCTGAAACGCGTCGATTTTTACAAACCTCATTGGTCTGAAAAGCGAGGTATGCTCTGATTGGCCAGCTATCCAGAGCGTTGTGATTGACCGAATACCTCAAGCGTGTGACGGAAATGTTACACCCCTTACCATATTGTGATGCCCTGTCAGGCCAGAGGAAATCGCATCATATGACCCCTTTAAATGAATTAAGGTTGCTCCCTTGCTTCAAATCAAAAAAGTAGAGAACCCCTGATCTAAACAGTGTTGAATGTAAGAGCTGTTGGTGTTTGACCACAGGGAGGCAGTGTGACACATCAAATGAAATGGCCAAATATTGTACCACTTTAGCTCTGGTCTACTGCTGACCTTACTGTACAGCTATATCCACTATTTATTAGCCCTCTTGGAATTGCTCAGTTTAATCTGTTTTGTATCACAGTCAGATTTAGCTGTCCATTTGTTCGAGCTGGTTTGCGGTGCAAAATTAATTCTAAATGAACAGATACATCAATATGTCGAAAACTATGTAGGAAATGCTGATATACAACTAAACAAGTGCAGAAAGACAAAATAACAAAACTGCTATGTTAATAAAATCATCTTTAACCCTATAAAGCGTACTGTATCATATTTCTTGGGCCTCTAAATGATCAACATGATCAAAAAACCTGTTGTACACAATCTACTAAATGACTTCTGTTGATATGTTATATTTAAAGACGAACACTTACTGGACTGAAGCAACTTCGGTTTACTTAATTATCCATGTATCATTATTTAGAAAGCCAAATATTAAATGTCATACATCAGGCTTTGAGCAATGTTTATTTGTTATTCTCTTAATCATAAATGTATATTGCACAGCAATGATGTGTTTCGCCCCCCACAAATAAAGCAATTACGCATTAATTATTATTGGGAGATAGAGTGACATCTGATATTATGCATTTTATATAAGTAGTCTGTTATACTGTTACAAAGATCTCACTGATTTACATTACAAGCTATCAGAATTGCATTTTACTTTTTGGCTATTTCTCTAAGAAAGTTGAAATTGTTATGTCTAAGACTTTTTTTCCCAACATCCCACCATGTGACTGAACAGCCGGACAAAATAAATAAAGAAGCCCATAACATAACTTCCTGAACTCAGTGTTCCAGAGTGCTTTATTTACAGAAACACAAGCAAACTTTGGTCTGGGGTGGTGATTTCAGAAGTTTCTGAAACTATTATTCATTCACACACCAACCACAGGTTATTTCCATCTGTCAGCTATCTGAACACACGGGTTATACAGGATAGAATTATTAGAAATGTACACACGCATTCCATTTACAGTCAAAGTTCAGTCATAATTTCATTATTAACTGTTTTCCCTTAGATATTAAAGCAATAGTTTTAAAATTAAAATTCTGTATTTATTCCCATTTATGTCCTTTCAAACAGTTTTTTGCTTTGAATTACAAAAATTAATTTCTGTAGAACCAACATGCAGCATTTTAGAGTGAACTATGCCTTTAAAGGGTTAGTTCACCCAAAAATGAAAATTCTGTCATTAATTACTCACCCTCGTGTTGTTCCAAACCCGTAAGACCTTCGTTCATCTTCGGAACACAATTTTTTATGAAATCTGAGGGCTCTCTGACCCTCCCATAGACAGCAAGGTAACTACCACGTTCAAGGTCCAGAAAAGTACCAAGATGATCAACAAAGTAGTCCGTGTGACATCAGTGGTTCAACTATAAAGTTACGAAGCTACGAGAATACTTTTTTGCGCAAAGAAAACAAAAATAACGACTTTATTCCACATTTTCGTCTCTACTGCGTCACTTTGGACACGCGTTCACGACAGTACCATGACGCGAGCGTGTGGCGGCGTTTTTTTTGTTGTTTTCTTTGCACAACAAAGTATTCTCGTAGCTTCGTAACTTTACAGTTGAACCACTGATGTCACACGGACTACTCTGTCGATCATATTGGTACTTTTCTTGGTACTTTTGCTGTCTATGGGAGGATCAGAGAGCCCTCATATTTCATCAAAAATATCTTAAATTGTGTTCCGAAGATGAACAAAGGTCTTATGGGTTTCGAACAACACGAGGGTGAGTAATTAATGACAGAATTTTCATTTTTGGGTGAACTAACCCTTTAAGAACAGCACAAAGAGTCTAATGACCAAAATTAATTCACGTGACAAACACAGACGCATGCTAAGTTGAACATAATAGCATTGATGTGCTTTTAATTAATGAGTATGTTCAGCACTAGACATGTTTTGCACAGATGTAGTCGAGTCCAGTCCCAGTAGCGTTCCTAAGTAAGACTGCTCTCGAGGGTCCAGCATCTGGTCGGGCCGCACCGGGTGCACGATGTTGGTCGGCTGAGGCGTGAGGGTGTACTTTTCTAAGAACACTAGGTCAGTGGCGGACTGGTAGCCTGTCTGTTGTTGCTGGCTCACAGCTGGAAGGACCCCATGTGGCGTCCTGTGCACAGCAAGACCGCTTTCCTCAGTCATCTGGACGGGGACGAGCGTCACAGGGACGCAAACGTCAGCCGCCACACTCTGCAGCACAGTCTTAGGTGTGTTATGGTACGGTTTGGGCGTTTCGTTTGACAGCAGCGGCTCGGTGAGCTTGCTAGCAGGGGCCGCAGGCAGGTTCGGCTGTTGCTGCTCGAGCGGGCGGCCGCTGTGCACATGGTCCACGTGATACTTGAGCTTGTCCTTACGCTTGAAGGTAGCGCTGCAGTGCAGGCAGTTGAAAGGACGTACATCTGAGTGAATGACCATGTGCTTGGTCAAAGTCTTCTTGATGCGGAAGGTCTGGTTGCAGATCACACACCGGTGGGGTTTCTCACCTGAGCAGAGCAAAATACTGGATCAGGAAAAAAGCTGTGGATCAGAAATGCCATAATCTGCCCTTAAAGGTGACATATCATGAAAATCTGACTTTTCCAGGTTTTAAGTGCTATAATCAGGTCCCCAGTGCATCTACCAACCAAGGAAACGTGAAAAAGATTAACCCAGTAACTTTGTTTTGGTAAGCCTTTTTCTGCAAGCGTCTGAGAAAACGAGCGCGTCTGATTTCGTTCCCTTGGTGACGTGGCAAAGGGATCTCATTATAATATTACCGCCCCTTAATCTGTAAGTTTACACCCATGGCGCCGTCATTTTGATTTCGCAAGCGACATTGGTGTATTAGTTCTAATGCCATGGCGAAAGTTTGATCAAAACATACTAACTGTTCTGTGTTTGGCTGCACAGACGGGCACAGAACACTATTTAGAGTCCCAGCCTCAGAGGAGACAACAGAGCAGTGGATTTATTGATTTATTTAGGCTACTGTATATTGCTGCTGCCACACAGATCTAAAATAAACATGCGATTTATTTCCCAGCTGTTTACCTTCACAGACATAACCCACTGTTTTTGTAACTCATGTGTTTTTAACGTAAACTTGTGTGTGAATGAGAACTTAGTTTAGTACTCACATACTGTGACAGCCACTTTCTGTCCATGTGCTTCGGATGTGTGCGCTCAGAAAACCGTATATCAGAAGTTTAAACTCATATGGTTGATTTTTCATATGGTATTTCAGTGCGATAAACATGATAATCAGAACCAAAACAGATGTCTTTAGCAGGTCCGAGCTGTAATGGCACAGCTCTATTCTGGAAAAGGGGGCGGGGAGCAGCAGCTCATTTGCATTTAAAGAAACGGGCCCGAAAAACAGCTGTTTCTGCTTCCACTCAAAATAGGCATTTTCAAAATAATATTATAAATGATCTGTGGAGTATTTTGAGCTGAAACTTCACAGACACATTCTGGGGACACCAGAGACTTATATTACATATTGTAAAAAGGGGCATAATATGTCTCCTTTAAGGCAAGACAATACAGTCGAAAACATTGTTATTTCATGCATTGGTCTATTTGTCTATTTCATGAAATGTTATTTTATTACAATTTATCTATTTGCATTCTGTAGATTTCAATTACAATTTTATCTTTAAAATGTATTTTGTCAAAATTAGTTTTTTCTAATGAGACAGAAATCTGCACTTCAGTAGCACTTAAACCAAACCTGACAGTTTTTATATTTCTATTTATATATTGTTAAGTTATGTTCATATATGTATTTGCCTGCTTTTACACAATATTTCATTATTTAAAAAAAATTCTGGCTGCTGACAGTATTTTCTGATTTAAGGAGTGTCAAAGAGATATCGAAAATCTCCTCTGTAAGACTCTAATATGTCAAGAAAATTAAACACAAATTTTGAACCTGGCTTTATCCAATTTCTGTTCTGGAAATGTATGCAAATGAGTACATCTATAATTAGATAATAATTAGATTATACCACAACATACCATTTCAGAAAACTTGTGATACAAAAAATGTTTTCAATTCTTAATGTAATCAGTCAACTAGGGAAGTATGGTGATATCTATTAGTTACATTTTTTTATTGTCACAATTTTTATTTTTGTTGATTTGATTTAATAGTTTGGTGTCACTAAAACTGATCAAAAATATGGTAAAACAGTAATATTGTGAAATATTACAATTTAAACCGTTCTCTATGTGAATCCATTTTAAAATGTAATGCAAAGTGTGATGCAAAGCTGAATTTTCAGCATCATTGCTCCAGTCTTCAGTGTCACATGATCCTTCAGAAATCACTCTAATATGCATTCTAATATTTATTCTAAGTAATATTTTTGTGGAAACCATGATACATTCTTTGATGAATAGAAAGTTCAAAAGAACAGCATTTATTTGAAACATAAATCTTTCATAAAGTCTTTACTGTCACTTTCAATCATTTGAATAAAAGTATTAATTTCTTTCACAAAAAATCTTTTGAATGGTAATGTATGTTACCTGAATGTGTTCTGAAATGCGACATGAGGTTGGTCTTCCCCCTGAACTCTTTCTTGCACACCTGACACTGATGCACCACTGCTTTATACCTGTCAAAATTTAGTACATGATCATGAAATCACAGATCTCACATGCTCAACATCACCTGCAGCCATTGTTTTATATTGCATAACAAAGACTGAATGTCATCATCATCTTCACAAAAACAACCGGTCTCAGTTCACAACACGTGTACGCACATGACTTTGTTTTTAACCATGTACTAATGTTTGGAGTATACTAAATAAGCGGTTGTGTGCATAAAGTTAGTCATTTGCATAAAACACACCCAAAACAATCGCCATATAAGGGCTTTGCACACAACCTTTCGTCACACTGGCAAACACATGACAGTCTGTAAAAACCTTGAGAAATGCCATCCTCAAAACCAGTTAAAACACAAGAAATACATTTAATGCAGCTGTACATACACATATATCTACATTGTTATTCAGAGAAACCTCACAGCCCGAATTACATCACAGCTTTTCTTACTCCTTCTCTGTATATGATAAAATATATTTAAGCTGAAATATAAATTTCATATAAACTACATATATATATTCTACTTAACACATTTATAAGGCAGAATGCATGTTTTTTTGCATATGTGTGGTTTCAGTTCCTTTTTTTTTTTTGTAAATTTAGAGTAAATTTTAGAATGAAAGTTTAAGGTGAATCATGATTTGTTGGTGAAGATATTTGTACGCAAACTTCACTCACAAATTTGTGCGTACGCATGCTTACAGAATGAGACCCAATGGGTCAAAAGATCAAGAGGATTTTGATTTCTCAGTTCATGACCCCTTTAAATCTAAATTTTAAAAGCTAGTCCTCCATATAGACATTTAAAGCATAACAGAAGCACTCCTGACATGATGGCTGTCGAACAGTTATGCTACCTTGAATTAACTTAGCATATGATATAGCATGTTAAAATTTATTTCATTTATTCATAATGTATATATGGGTTTTCTGAGACGACAAACAAAATTGCAACTTGAATTTGAATCTGAAAAATACCTGTGTGAATTTTTTTGTGTTTCTTTAGATGATCGTGGCGGATGAACGTTTTGCCACATTCGTCACATTCATAGCGCTTGTCCTCATGATGAACGCGAAGGTGAAGCCTGAAACAAAACAGCAACAGTAATAAACAACACTATCACATGTCATGTTCTGTCCCATTACTTTTAATCTTGTTCAAATGTTTGGGGTTAGTACTTTTTTTTTAGAAAGAATAATACTTATATTGATCAAGACAGAATTAAACTAAACATTTATGTTGTTACAATGTTGTTACAAATAAAAAATTTGCAGGAAAAAACGTTTTCAACATTGATAATAATAAGAACCAGTATTAGTAATTGAGCACCAAATGATTTCTGAAGGATCATGTGACACTGAAGATTGAATGCTGAAAATTCAGCTTTGCATTACAAATTACATTTTAAAATATATTCAAATAGTAAACAGTTATTTTAAGTTGTATTAATGTTTACAATATTACAGTTTTTACTGTATTTTTGATCAAATAAATGCAGCGTTGGTGAGTAGAAGAGATTTTCAAAAACAAAACAAATTCCAAACTTTGACCCCGAACTTTTGAATGGTAATGTATTTCAAGAAAAACACAACTAGTAAAGATGTGTATATTCCTGATTTAACTTTTATATGTTGCTTGCTTAACTATTCATCTGTACATATTCTCTCAGATCATGTTTCATCTTAAAGGGTTAGTTCACCCAAAAATGAAAATTCTGTCATTAATTACTCACCCCTCGTGTTGTTCCAAACCCGTAAAACCTTCGTTCATCTTCGGAACACAATTTAAGATATTTTTGATGAAATCTGAGGGCTCTCTGACCCTCCCATAGACAGCAAGGTAACTACCACGTTCAAGGTCCAGAAAAGTACCAAGATGATCGACAAAAGGGCCTTTCGCACCGCTTTAGTTCCAGAACTAAATGTACAGTACTAAAGTACTGGGACGATTTTGCGCAAACTATTTCCCAGTACCATTTAAAGGGTTGCATTCGCACCGAGAGTGTGTACTAAGAAGTGACTTTATTCCACATTTTCGTTTCTACTGTGTCACTTGTAGACAGACGCGCGTTCACGACAGTATCATGACCCAGATCCGGTGTGATGACGTCATTACGTCGGATCTAGGTCAGCGCCGCCACACAGAATGACCCAAAAATGACAGAATTTTCATTTTTGGGTGAACTAACCCTTTAACATACAGCAGATCAACACTCTCACAGACCTGTAGGAGCTTCCGTGACGGAAACTTTGTCCGCAGATGCTGCACAGGTGAGGTTTCTCCCCACTATGGATCCTCAGATGCTCCCTGAGGGTTGTCCTGAAAATATGTTTGAAGATAAGCAGAGAACAGCTTGTATTTGAATAAAACATCCAACCATTATTGCATTTGCATACAGTTTTGGTAACATCACTGCCTAACAGCAGCTTCATACCTCTCTCGAACTGATTTGCCGCACAGAGAGCAGGTCCATTTCCTCTTCCCCCCGTGTGTGCACTCTATGTGACGTTTGCGGTTGCCCGTGTCATTAAATTGACGACCACAGATGTCACAAGGGAAGGGTCCTGGATATTGGACATTTTGTCAACATTAAAGGAATGCTCAATACAAGTTCAATGCAAGTTCAACTCGTCTGGTTCATTAGCAATAAAAGTTTGGGTAAAGCTTTACCTAAATGGAATTTTTCTTGGTGCTTCAACCGGGCAAATCGTGACTTAAAGTAGTCATCACAGTAGGCACACTTGAAGGGCTTGTCCTGTGAATGTAAGATCATGTGCTCCTCCAGATGGGGGCGACGACTGAAGGACTTGTGACAGATCTACAAAAGCAGCATCAGGAAAGAAATTATACTAACTGTAAAATTGTTTGCAAACAGAATTTGGATGTAGTGCATAAAATAAATCAAATAAATAACCAGGCAAATAACTCACGTCACATTTCCAGCCTTCACTCTTCTTCTTCTTCTGAGTGAGAAACTCCTGGAGGTGGTCGGGATGAAATCTGTTAGCAGACAATGTGTTGGACTTTGATCACATACTGAGGCGAGGAAACTAAATATTTCATTAACAAAACAATATATGGCTACAGGAACATGTAAAAACTGAATAGGAAACATAATGTAAACAAAACAGAAGAATGGACCCGGTTGACATTTCCTGGAATCTTCGAAGCAGATCGGAGTGAATGGGAGACTACACATTTTTCCAATAGCAAAATTAAAATAAATAAATCCATAAAAATCCATGATAGCGTTTCTACAGCTTTCCAAAAGAGGACAAATATAGACAAATTTTATTTGGCAGTCAGAACAGAAAAAGACATCAAATTTAAGTAATATAGTAATATAACAGTAATATAGTAAGTAAAGTAATATAACGCACAGTACAGTATAATAAATGTGTATTAAATTAAAAAAAAATACAAAAACTTTAGATTTACTCAATTTAAAATGTTAATAACTGTGGAAAGGCATAATCACAGTTTGTGAAAATGTTCCATTTATTAATTTAGTAGACACAAAGTACATAAATGCCATCTCTTAAAGGGAAAGTTCACCTAAAAATAAACATTCTGTCATCATTTACTCATCCTCATGTCATTACAAACCAACACAAACCACACAAAACAGTTTTGGTTCCCAATGACTTCTAGTGTATGGTCAAAAAATATAATGGAAGAAAGGAAAAAAATTGTTTGGCTACCAACATTCTTCAAAATATTTTCTTTTGTGTTCCACAAAGTAATACTCACTCCAAAGATGGTATGATCCTGACATTGCTTTAACTTGACATAAAACCAAAATGATATTTTACACGGGGGAAAAAGACTATTTTAAAGACTGTGTTTTCATATGTTGTAGTTTTGAGTTTTTTTTAAATGCTGATTATCTCATTGATGATTATTAAAGTTGGGGGCACACTGCATTCCCTTCACATCCGGTGAGGCTGTCTACACTGCCATGAAACTTCTTGATAACATTATGTACGGATCAAGGAACATCAGGTTCTCTGGAGATGCGCTTGTAGCCTTGAGAGTGTCCATGCCTGGCTATAATGTTGTGTCTGACCGCCTCAGATAATTCTTAGCTTTTCTTTCTTTTGTCGATGCTCACTGCAGTAAAATCAGTATATTAGAATGCTTTCTGAAGGATCATGTGACACTGAAGACTGGAGCAATGATGCAGAAAATCCACAGAAATAAATTGTATTTTAAAACACCTCAAATGGAAAACGGTTATTTTAAATTGTTCTTACTGTATTTTTGATCAAATAAATGCAGCCCTGGTGAGCACAAGAGACTTCATTCGAAAAATTGACCCCAGACTTTTGGTAGTGTATGAACTTCATTATTAATATACTTTTTAATAAATAAACAAATAAGACAAAATGCTGGCCGTGTCACTGATCCATCCGTCAGCCTTCACATTATAGCTCTCACCTATGCGATCAAAGGTCTTGTCACACTTGGGACACTTGAGAGTCTTCTTCTTGTTAGCGCTCTGGATCATAACGGGAGCCAGTCCTTCAGGAAACACGTGAGCGGTGAGCTCCGTGGCTTGGCTGTGCTCCTCAACAGCACGGCTGGATGTCGGTTCGGCCTCCTTCTGGGCTTCAGCCTGCTCTACAGCCTCATGTTCCTCCTCTTGCTTCTCACCGTCTTCACATTCTGCCTCCTCGACCGTTTCTTCTCGTCCCTCTTTACTACTTTGCTCATGTTGCTCTTCCTCACTTTCCTCCTCCTCCTCAAAAGCGGCGGCATCATGCGTTGGAGTTTTTTGACCGGATTTTCCAGACAGGACCTGGCCATTTTCGCTCTCGAATTTAGCAGGGGTCCTCCTCTGACGGGCCGATCTGCGGGTAGCGACCGCAGATGTGCTTGCCATGTTTTGCTCGTCCTCAACTTGGCAGCCAGCGCTGTGCGACTTAGCCAGGTGATTCTCCAGAGACTTCTTGTAGCAGAAGGTACGACTGCAAAAAGAGCATTGAGCTCCTGCTGAAGTCTGGACATCTGGAGTCTCCAGTGGAACCTGCTGAACATCACTTTCTTCATCAACATGAGCTGGTGTCGCCCGCTTCGCTAAAAGATTTACAGCTTCCATCATCTCCAGAAAACAGGCAGCCTCGGCCAAAGCAGGAATCTGGCTTTCTGAAACGTCAAATTCAGACGTGTATAGGAAGTTGAGCAAATGTCCAAAGATGGAGACCTCGATGTTATCAATGGTAACATGGTGCAGTTCAGCGTTTTCGCTGAATTTGGCATGAAAATAGCCACTGCCAAAAGCCAAAACCACCTTGTGGGCACGATACATCTGGCCACAGACCGTGACAGTTATGTCACACAACGATGGCAGCTTCTGCCGGTCTTCGTTCAAGAACTTCAAGAAACAGCCATCAGTTTGGGATATTATCAGATGCCTCTTTTCCTGTGAGGAATCTTTAATGGCCACGTCCGCATCAGATGCTGTTTCTTTGCTGCTCATATCTTTCACTTTTGTCTGCTGAGGTGCATTGACTTTCTTCTTCATGTTTCGGGTTTCCAACACAAAGATTCCACTGAAAAAGAGTCATACATATTAGTTTAATCAAGACATAGTACAAATTTTAATTTTAAAAAGTACATATTATTATTTTGTTAACTTTAACATACATTATAATGAAAATATAACGTCAAAACTTCGAAAAAGTAAAGTGTAAATACAAATAAATGTCACATTTGTGTTAAGTACATAATCCGAATGGATTCTGGTTCATTTTAAAGTCGAAATGTTGCTTTACAAAACGATAAAAACAACAATCAAATATTGGCTTAAACTAAGACTAAATTATTTATATTGATCATGCATTTACCAGCTGTCTTATTGTGTCACGCGCATGAACTGATCTGTGGAGTCAGTGACATGCAGCCTGTAACTTCACACAGAGAGAGAACTGACAGTCCCATATACGATTACATCTGGCTTGCAGTTTTGAACTGGGTCGAGGAGAATGGCACAACGAAATAAACGCATTACAACACAGTCAGCATACACTGCACACACGATTCCAAAATCTAGCGCCGTGCGAAAAAGGACAATGCAAATCTGAAGTGAACTACCCCTTACGGCCCCCCCATTATGTCATGCGCCCACAGGGCCCCTCCAGAACAGGAGTGCGTTGACAAACGACCACAAAATGGCCTGTGGCGAACTGCAAATAGTGACTTATTTTCCAGTTCCAGTCTTACCTTTGAAGAGAATAAACATGCGGTGGTGTTTTGAACAGGTCACTTATTTTGCCTTTGTATACAAATAACAAAACACAGGGTTTTTTCGGATTATAAATCGCTTGTGTCCTTTTTCCATCGCTCGGGGTTCCGACGTCTCAACAAGCTGTTTTGTCATTGGCTGAAAGCGAAACGTCTTCCTGTTTCATAGGTTAAAATAAATAGCTTATTCATCCTCCGAAAATAACATTTATGTAACCTGAAATTTAATGAAAGTTAATAGTGTATGTGTTTTAATTTAATTTAAATAACAACAACAATAAACGTGCCACGAAGTCGTCCAGATGAGGCATAGCATTGTGGGTAATGTAGTTGGCTATTTGGTGAATAGAATTAGCAGCTGTGTGTGCGTTATATATGCAACTTTCCCGCCCGAAATATCCCGTTCCATCTTGCATTTGTAGCAGCAGGTAAAAGTACGGTGGCCGAGAAGTGCTAAACAAATCACAATTCTGAAATCAAAATAACAAATTACAAAATGGATAAGTGCCTGCCCTTGGCTTTTTGACATGATCGACCCGGGTTCGATCCCACCTTTTGCAGAACTTTTTTTTCTCCCTTTTCAAATCTCGTATCACATCGTAAAGGCATAAAGGTGTTTTCACTTACCGTCACTTACAAGTGAACAACAGTGTGAAAATCCAACACTGAGCCTGTAAATGGTTTATTTTTATTGTACAATACCAATAACATCACCCACTGAACCCTTTGTAGGAAAACGATGAATACTTGCATACTTGCTGTGGTGATCCTGAATTGTAATCTGACCAATTTTGGTCTTTAGCTCTATACCACCAGTTCAAATCAGTTTCTTTAAATTATAGCTTTTGAACCCTTTGTCCTATAAATGAATTTAGTTAATCTTATTACGTATTAATGTCTTACAGTAAGACTCCGCCCATTACAGTAGCCACCATTTTTTTTTTAATGTACTGTATTTTGGCTATTTTTGGTACTTCTCTTTCAAATTGTGTCCGGTTCTCACCAAATTTGGCTCGGATGACCATTAAACTGAACCAACTGAGCTGACTCTGTTCAAAAGTTATAGTTTCACAAAGTTAGCAATGTTGACCCGAAACTGGATGAAAGGCTGTATCTCAGTAACACTTTAATCTACTGAAAGGAAGCTTGGTAGGCTTCGTTAGCTCTATGAGCTGAGGGTACCTGCCAAACTTGGCGACAGCACCAACTATAGGTCATGAAATCTGAAAAATGACTATTTTTGCACATATGTAAAATACTGTGTGAACTTGGTGTCTACGAATTCCTTGGGTCATGCCAAGTTTTTTCCAGGATTGGATGAATTTCCTGTACATTGTTTTGAAATTTGGTGTAAATACCAATATCTTTTCACTATTTTTACATATCTGGTCAAAATTAGTTATGGATCATTTACAGTTTGTACTGAAGGTGCCTGAGAAGTTTGAAGACTAACATTTCCAAAGATATAAGGCTTTTTACCAAAATGCTTATATCTGTTTTCTTGCCGAGTTGTGTTCCTCGGTTTATTCTGATTGTGTTTATTCTTCACATTTAAAAATAATCAGCATTCAAATCTGTGGATTATGCCTTTATAATAGAGTTATACTGTCTAAGAATTGTTAATAACTTCATTCAGCTCTGTCTTGTGTCATTTCAGAGCTGCATAGGTCCATAAGGTGAGGATGCGTGAGCTCTCTCAGATTAGCCGTGGCCTCACACCAGTTCATTAGACATGTAAATGCATTACCATAATCCCAAGGGTTGCGGTGAACCCACTGAGAAGTCAGTCCATCCTAAACACAGATGAATGAGGAAGAGCCAAGGAAGTCTGTGAGGGTAATGGTGTTTTACAAAGCTGGCTTTAGGTCTCCTGCCTGTTTAGTTTGCTTATAACTAAAATCATGACAAGACTGGGCACTTCTTTCTGGATTGTACTGTTGCTCCATGCAGGTAACAATTTTCATTACAATGTTATCTTGTGGCATACTTATGGATTACATTAGAAATGTGCATGTTCATGCTTTTTAGTTGGTAGGCCTATTAATGGCATTGATGAAACGAATTGCAGCCTATAATGCATAATGCTTTTGTTCCATAAATCCTCACACATGTGATTTTAATAGAATTGGAGAGATATGTGGTTGTCTTGCGTCCATTACAGCAAGAGCATTTAAGCAAATCAAAAGATTTTACCCAAAAATCATTCATCCCGTTCCAGTATGATTGTGAAAAATCATTCATGCAGTACACAATCTAAAAAAAAAAAAATCAGAAGTTGACAGAACAGAGTTGAGAGTACTTAGTATATATACATAACAGTATACTTATATCAACTTTGTGTCTATCAACTTTGATCTGTGATTTTATTGGACTAATATAAACTCAAAAATATTCATGTTTGTACATCCAAGTTCAATCATTTGAAATTAAGCTGATTAAGCTAATTAAATGAAGCTAATATATCATGTAATAGTGATTTAGAACTTTCAGAACTTTTTAGAATCTTTGGGCAAACTGAAAAAGTTAGGTACTACTATACACCAAAATAAGTTGTATAAACTAATTTAAATATTTATCCTTTATAAGTTCATTGTTAAAAAAAAAAATTTTTTTCGAAGTTGTAAATAAAGCAAAGATTTCTACTTCAAAATTTCACGTTTAATTCAATGTGTTACTTGCCTGTTTTCGTAATTATTTGTGAATTTTACAAAAAATTTCTGAGTGAAAATGTTCTAAGTAAAGCTTACGCCAAGTGTTCCCATACTTTGCCCAAAAACACAAATTATTCAGCTGCTTCATCAGTGAGCAAACTGAGCATGTTCTGCAGCTAGCTAGTTGGACCCACACCAACAAACTTGACATTGTAAATACATGATGTTTAATATTTTAAGTTTTTTTTAAGAAGAACATACCACATACTATGAAATTATTGTTGATTTTTTAAACATTTCACTCAAATTGATATGATCAAAAACATATGCAATTGAAAAAAAAACTGATTTTGTGATTTATTCATCCTCATGTCGTTCCAAACCAGCATGACTTCTTTCTTTTGTAGAACACGAAAGATGATAGTTTGAAAAATGTCTCAATGTTTTTGTCCATACAATGAAAGTCAGTAGAGTCCAGTGTTATTTTGGTCCTCACTGACTTTCATTGCATGGACAAAAAAATGTGTAGTTTTTGTGTGTGTGTGTGTGTGTCTGTTCCACAAAAGAAAGTAATACAGGTTTGGAATGACACGAGGATGAGTAAATGACAGAATTTTCATTTTTGAGTGAATGTGATTTCTGAGACAGATATAAAGTTAAAGGGTTAGTTCGCCCAAAAATGAAAATTCTGTCATTAATTACTCACCCTCATGTCGTTCTAAACCTGTAAGACCTTCGTTCATCTTCGGAACACAATTTAAGATATTTTTGATGAAATCCAAGAGCTTTCTGACCCTTCATAGACAGCAACGCAACTATCACGTTCAAGGCCCAGAAACGTAGTAAGGACATTGTTAAAATAGTCCATGTGACATCAGGGGTTTAACCGTAATTTTACGAAGCTACAAGAATACTTTTTGTGCGCAAAGAAAACAAAAATAGCGATTTTTTAAACAATTTCTTCTCTTCCGTGTCAGTCTTCGATGCGTGTTCGCGACAGTACCACGACGCATGTGTGTGCATTCCTCTACTTGTAAACAAGACGCAGCACATGCGTGTTCTACGTCAGAACGCCGGCTCCTGCATCAGCAGCACCACACACAAGCGTCATGGTACTGTCGAGAAAGCACGGCGAAGACTGACACGGAAGAGAAGAATTTGTTGAAAAAAGTCGTTATTCTTGTTTGTTTGTTTTGTCGCACAAAAAGTATTCTCGTAACTTAATAGAATTAAGGTTGAACAACTGAAGTCACATGGACTATTTTAACAATGTCCTTACTACCTTTCTGGGCCTGGGAACGTTTTAGTTGCGTTGCTGTCTATGCAGTGTCAGAAAGCTCTCGGATTTCACCAAAAATACCTTAATTTGTGTTATGATGATGAATGAAGGTCTTACAAGTTTGAAACGACATGAGGGTGAGTAATTAATGACAGAATTTTCATTTTTTGGTGAACTATCCCTTTAACTAATATTCGTCAGTGAGGTTCATAACACTGTAAAAAGTCTTGAAACTTGTGTCTTCTCTGCCTCAGGAGACTGCAGTGAGGAGAATATTAATGGTTGTGATATGAACCCGTGCATGAATGGTGGCGTGTGCGAGAATCAGGATGGACAATACAAATGTCACTGTTCCCAAATGAGCTATAATGGACACCTCTATGGAGGGCCATACTGCACGGTAATCCTGCTCGGCTGTGAACGTCACTGGTGCCAGAACGGTGCCACTTGCTATCCGTACCTGGACAAAGGACGGCATCGATACAGCTGCATCTGCCCTGAGGGTTGCACTGGAACAAAATGCCAGACGTCCACCGCCTTCTCCTTTGAAGAAAGTGGATTCATGCAGGTCCAAACCAAACTCACTAATGCTTTCGAACCTTTGAATGTCACTCTGAGTTTCCGCACGTTGCAGGCAGCGGCCACTCTGCTCCAGTGCCATGTTGAAGATCAGTTTCTTATGCTGGAGTTAGTGGATGGAAGAGTACGGCATACATTGCAGCGAGCCCAGGACACTGAAAGCGTTTTTCTAGAGCTCCCGCCGATGGTCTCTGATGGCCACTGGCACACGGTCAAGGCCTCGCTGCGCAACAACATGCTCGGGCTGAGTCTTACAGACCCTTCTTGCCTTGAGGACACGTGTCGTATGGAAGTACAGATTGATCGAGCAGAGCCCGACCTGGGTTCAGGTCTGTCTGAGTTAACTGTGATCCAGAATCTCTACATAGGTGGAAGAGGAGAGAACGAGACTGCTTCAGGCTTTTTGGGATGTATGAGGGATGTGTGGTTGGATTCACTCATCGTGGTGCCTGGACTGGGGCTGAGGAGTCCTGCTAAGCAACTTAACGTGAAACAGGGCTGCAGTGACTGGGACCGCTGCAAGGAAAACCCATGCCAGAACAGAGGCAGATGTGTTAAGACTGGATGGAGAAGCTTTAGCTGCGAATGCCATCGGCCTTATGAGGGCGAGCACTGTTTAGATGGTATGATTGCTCTTACATTATACTACTTGGGTTAGTTTGCATATAGAATGAACAGAATTATGGATTTAGACCCTTAAAGGGATAGCTCATCCAAAAATAAAAATTCTGACATCCTTTACTCAACCTCAAGTGGTTCCAAAACTGTATGGGTTTCTTTCTTCTGCTGAACACAAAAGAAAGTTTTTTTAAAGAATGTTGCTGGTAGCCATTGACTTCCATAGTATTTTCTTCTTCTTCCATTTTTAGGTGAACTATCTCTTTAAGTCACATTCAAAAAATGTCTGAATGCCATTGCAGTATAAAATTCAAAATATCGAACCAAGTGTCATCTGCAAACAAATTCCGATACCTTTAAAACAAAATGCTCTAAAGGGGTTTTCACAGTGATGCCATAGAAGAGCCATTTTTGGTTCCACAAAGAACCTCTCAGTGAACAATTCTTAAACTAACATTTTTATTTTTTCTAAAGAACTCCTTTTCCACTGTAAAGAACCGTTTGTCCAATAGAAAGATTCCATGGATGTTAAAGGTACCGCAGATGTAAAAAGAGTGTAAAAATACAGAAATATAACATCGCTTTTTGAGCCATTTTGCAATGGCTTTTTCAGTGTCGCAATGGTTTTTAGTAGATATGAAGATGCTCTCCTCAAGTTCACACAGGTGTCCTAACAGAGTAACTACACCTGTAGTTCATCACATTAACTGAACTTGATCCACTAAGGTTTGACAACCTGAAAATGTCCAAAGGCTTCTTTATATAGAAAAATATATCTATTGGGTTATCATTTAAAACAACACAAACATCTTCATGACATCTTGTGCTTGAGAAGTGTGCTTGTTCTTTCTTTTTTTTATTTTACTATTTAAAGTAGCCTATTTCTGATTAAACCGAGATAGAATTTTAAATAATTTAGAATGAGCATTCATCTTTCCTGGTCGCCATTATCTCTACAACAACGTCATTGATAAAACTGCTTAGCGAGAATCTAAATTTAGTGCCCCTTAGAGGGTCAAATTTAGTGCAGAGACATACAATGAGATTAGAGTGCTAAAGAAAACAGGCATCCACAAACACCCAGACATACACTCACGCAAAAAGCAACCCGACTGCAAAGGGAGGGTTAAAACCATTCACACCTGAACTGTGGCTTAAAGAAACGTGATATTAACAGGCATATTTAATCCATGCAGATCCTGTTAAGATAGAAACCACCAGTGATTTATTTGAGACGCATCTTATGTTCAGTGTCAGAGAGCAAAACAAATTCTGTTAGAAATGGGTGGACAACCCAGCATATTTATTGAATTATTGTTATTACAATGGCATGTTATTGTATGCATTGTATTACATCAACAACAACAATAATAAAATAATATATATGTAATAAAACATATTATAATAATAATCATGATAATAATAAAACATTCAAATTTTTTTTTATATTTGACTGTCACATTTTATTTAGATGTATTATTATTATTAATAATAATAATGATATTTGGAATAATATAAAAAATTCGAACTATATTTGGAAACATTCTATTTGGTTTGATATTATTCTTATATGAATGATTACATTGTTCACAATTCTGGAATAATAATGCTTGACTTGAACCAAAAAAATGGCTAAACTTTCTAAATATGTTGAATATATAATAAAAAAAATTATGAAAAATGTGATGAATTTCCATATATGAATTATTACATACTATTTTGTTTGATATTACTACTACGACGACGACTACTACTACTAATAATAATAGTAATAATAATAACTCCATATTTAGAAATATTCCATTTTGTTATATTTTACTTTGTCACATATTTGTTATAATTGCACATATTTTGTTGTTGTTGTTATTGTTGTTGATAATACTATTCATAATATTCAAAATATTTATAATGCATATTATGTCTTTATTGTTGTAGTATATACATTTTTGTTGATTTAATAAGTAATTGTGTAGAAAGCAGAAAAATTATCTCTAAAAATCATTTTTGCATTTCACTTATTGAGCACAAAAAAAAAAAAAATCTTGTTCATATTCTGTATTGTACCTTTCTCTTACACTGCTGTTCATTTTGTATTATCAGAGTATGTAGCTGCAAGGTTTGGAAGTGAAGATCTGGAGAGCTATGCTGTGTTCACGGTGGAAGACGATCCAGGTGACAGTAACACCGTGTCCATGTTCGTTCGCACGCGCCGCTCACAGGGCTTGCTCCTGGTCCTCTCCAACACCACCAGTCAGTATCTGCGTGTCTGGTTAGAGGACGGAATGGTCAAAGTTCAAATCAACAACTTTGAAAGCCTGCTAGGATCGGAAACAGTCAGTGATGGTCATTTTCATCTCATAACTGTGCTTGTGGAGCCAGAATCCCTGTCCCTGTTTATGTCTGCTAAGAGCCAAGGCCGCATCCCCATCCGCAGTGTGCTGGTCCAGGCTGGAGATGCGGTGTATGTGGGGGGTTTACCAGACCGCCGTGCATCGCTAGCCTTCGGCGGCTACTTTAAGGGCTGTATCCAAGACCTCCGTATAAACAGCAGACGCCTGCAGTTCTACCCCGTCAGTGTCCCGGCGAGCTCCTACCGGCTCCAGAGCTTGATGAAAGTCACGCGTGGCTGTACTGGCGACGACTCCTGCACTGTAAGCATTTACAGATCCATGAATATGGTACTGGTATAAAATGTTGTTCAGTTTGCATGTTATTCTAGCCAAGAAATGCCCAAATGACAGGAAAGGTTGGTCTGATTGACATGAAAAGTGCATCAGATATTCAGCAATTAGCACTCTCTCAATTAAACTTTGCAATCACATTATCAGCAACAATATTTCTATGTTTGAATATTTCAATCTATTATGAATGATCTGATGAATAATCAAATATTATGAATGTTTACATCATTCACAATGTTCACAATTCTGGAATAATAATGCTTGACTTAAACCATAATTTTTTTTTCCAATTTGCTAAACTTTCTAAATAAGTTTAATATGTTTGAATATTTTGTAAACTTAAAATATTTTGGAAAAATGATAAATATTAATATATTATGAATGTTTACATCATTCACAATGTTCACAATTCTGGAATAATAATGCTCGACTTGAACCATACACTTTTTTCTAATTTGCTAAGCTTTCTAAATATGATTAATATGTTTGAATAATTTCTAAACTTCAAAAATTATGAAATATATTTTCATATATTGTATTGATTACATCATTCACAATGTTCACAATTCTGGAATAATAATGCTTGACTTCAACCATACCCTTTTTCCAATTTGCTAAACTTTCTAAGTATGTTTAATATGTTTGAATATATTGTAAACTTCAAATATTTTGGAAAAAATGATAAATATTAATATATTATGAATGTTTACATCATTCACAATGTTCACAATTCTGGAATATTAATGCTCGACTTGAACCATACACTTTTTTCTAATTTGCTAAGCTTTCTAAATATGATTAATATGTTTGAATATTTTGTAAACTTCACAAATTATGAAATATATTTTCACATATTGTATTGATTACATCATTCACAATGTTCACAATTCTGGAATAATAATGCTTGACTTCAACCATACCCTTTTTCCAATTTGCTAAACTTTCTAAGTATGTTTAATATGTTTGAATATATTGTAAACTTCAAATATTTTGGAAAAAATGATAAATATTAATATATTATGAATGATTACATCATGCACAATGTTCTCAATTCTGGAATAATAATGCTTGACTTAAACCATACACTTTATTTTTCTAATTTGCTAAACTTTGTAAATATGATTAATATGTTTGAATAATTTCTAAACTTCAAAAATTATGAAATATATTTTCATATATTGTATTGATTACATCATTCACAATGTTCACAATTCTGGAATATTAATGCTCGACTTGAACCATACACTTTTTTCTAATTTGCTAAGCTTTCTAAATATGATTAATATGTTTGAATATTTTGTAAACTTAAAATATTTTGGAAAAATGATAAATATTAATATATTATGAATGATTACATCATGCACAATGTTCTCAATTCTGGAATAATAATGCTTGACTTAAACCATACACTTTATTTTTCTAATTTGCTAAACTTTCTAAATATGATTAATATGTTTGAATATTTTGTAAACTTCACAAATTATGAAAATATGATACATTTTCATATATTCCAAATGATTACATCATGCACAATGTTCACAATTCTGGAATAATAATGCTTGTCTTCAACCATACATTTAGTATTTTGTATTCTGCAAACATCAAAAATTATGAAAAATTTTATACATTTCCGTATATTATGAATCATTACATCATTCACAATGTTCATAATTCAGGGAGTTTTCCATACCCTTTCTCTGTTTGAAACAGATCCCATGGGTCTGTGGACAGCAGTTTAAGAAGCACTGCTAAATAACTTGAAGGACAGTAGAGTCTTCTTCAAGATGAATCTTCCATGTTTATAATGAGAGTATGTACTGTGATGAGTGATTGTGAGTATCTGTTGTAGAATAATCCCTGCTTGCATGGAGGTGTGTGTTACTCCATGTGGGATGATTTCACGTGCAGCTGCCCACCCAATACAGCGGGACAGCGCTGTGAGGAGGTCAGGTGGTGTGAGCTGTCTCCATGTCCGTCCTCTGCCGTGTGTCAAGCCCACACTCAGGGCTTTGAATGTAAGTATGAACTTGCTGTCCTTATCCGAACTATGACACTTTTTCTAATTAAAAGCGGTAAAGAAAAGGTTGATTATGTCTAAGCATTAATGCATCTATGGTACCTATCCTCAGTTCAGTTGTATAATTGATCATTGTCATGCGTAGCTATACTGGGGATTTATGAAAGCCTTGAAAGATTATCCTTTGTTGGATTTGCCACGCCATGTGTGCTTGTCCTGGAGCATGTTAATGACATAACCATATGTCGCAGGGAAGAAATTGAATATGGTGTTCAGGGGTTACACTATATGCAAGCAAAAAGAAAATAAGGGTCTGTTTATTCATGCTTGCTGAAACAGGTAGCACCTGAGAGGATACAGTCTTCCAGATTTAAGATCTTAGACCTGTGGAACGTTCATGTGAACAAACATAACTAGAGGAATTTGGAACCTTGGAAGTCTACTGCAATGATTCTCAAACTTTTTAACTCCAAGGTCTACAGAAAGGCCCAATGACTTCTCTGATTTATCTAATTGGCTGAATAATGATTAAAGATAAGGACTTTTAATTTTTTTTCAACTCACATAATTTGTACCCAATAAATATGCCCATTGAGTTATAAGATTTTATTAATTGACATATCTTTTCCAGATGTAAAAATCAGACTTTTAAAATGAGGTTTCCTCATATATTAGGTGTGAATACTTGTTCTTCAAAACAAAACAAAAAAAACCACAAAAAAAACAACGTTGTTTGGAGTGTGAATGAAAATAAGAAATATCTTAATTTTTTGTTGTTTTAGCTCATTTTTAAAAAATGTGAGTAATATTGAGGCCCTGTCCTGACCTTCTCAATATGATCTGAATGCCAGATAATTTGTTTTATTTATTTATTTATTTTAAGATTTTGCACATCACCTGAGTAATAGTTTGCATGAAGTGACAATGTAACTTTAAGATGTTTCTAAGCCAAATAAACTGGAAAACAGGGACTGAGGGAAAATCGAGACCCAATTACTCAATTTTAACTTGAGTCATATAGAAAAAAATTATGAAATAAAAATAAAATGTAACTAAAATAAAATAAAACAAACTTTATTTCAGCTAAATGCAACAGCAACATTTTTCATTTTAATTTAGTTTAACTTGATGTACTAAAATAGCTAAAACAGAAATAAAAAACGAATAACTATATACACACATTTAAAAAACACAAAAAATATGTAACAAAATTACTGAAACTTTAAATACACAAACATTGCCAAAAAGCAGTTGAATCCAATTTTAAAGCAAGTAAACTTTTACGTAAAAAAAAGTGTAAAACACTGTGAAGGCAAATAAGATATGAAGTATCCGTATATGTAAAGGAGACTTTTGAATCAGCTAAGGATTTTGGGTTTATATATACAGGTGCATCTCAATAAATTAGAATGTCGTGGAAAAGTTCATTTATTTCAGTAATTCAACTCAAATTGTGAAACTCGTGTATTAAATAAATTCAATGCACACAGACTGAAGTAGTTTAAGTCTTTGGTTCTTTTAATTGTGATGATTTTGGCTCACATTTAACAAAAACCCACCAACTCACTATCTCAACAAATTAGAATACTCCATAAGACCAATAAAAAAAAACATTTTTAATGAATCCGCAGCGACAGCCACATAATCACCTATCGTGGCAATGGAAAAATACAGCGATACCTCGGCAGCATTTCAATGCATTTCCGTACCAGGCAGCAGAATGCGACTCTACTGCATGCTGAGTGGGATTCTCAGTTCATTACCATTTCCATCCACGATGGACACGTGGTTTTAGAGCTGCAGGGAGAAAAACGAACCTCCTATGTATATATCCACAGCCTGGATCTGGTGAATGATGGTCAGTGGCACAAAGCAGACTTCAGCATGGACAGCCCAGTCCTCCAGTCATCCAGATGGAGAATAGTTGTGGACGAGCGCTGGGAGAAACCCTCCGTCTCCTTCACAGCCTCAGGAGATCTGGATTTCCTCAGAGAAGATGTGGACATCATCTTAGGGGGCTTGGGACCCGATTCGGAGGGTAACTTCGCTGGCTGTCTCGGTTTGGTGCAGATCGGAGGCCTTGCATTGCCACATTACAGTGAAGTGGAGATGAACCAGCCCAGACCCCAGGAAGAGCGGTTTCTGAGGACTTCTGGTACTCCCTACTTCGGCTGCTGGGGATCTAATGTCTGTGAGCCTGACCCTTGCCAAAATGAAGGGGTTTGTGAAGATCTGTTCGACCTTTTCAAATGCCATTGCCCATCTGATTGGGATGGCCAACGCTGTGAATTCACTGTAGATGATTGTGCATCAAACCCGTGTGTTCACGGAGCCTGCAGAGCGATCTCAGCTGGATACGAGTGCTGGTGTGATGCAGGCTACACCGGCCGGCGCTGTGAAACGGAGGTGGATGTATGCGCCCACCACAAGTGCAGCAATGGCGGAACATGCCTAAGAGGATTGAAACATTACTCATGTCTCTGTCCAAGAAGCACGACGGGTCCTTTCTGCAGGTGAATATGTTTCCTATGCTCACCACTGCAATGCATCTCGAGAGATGAAGTCTTCAGCAATGTCTTGAAATGCTGACATTCTTAGATGTGCATGCATGTAATGTTTCATTTCTGTTTCAGGGAGAGAGTTCCAGAGCTTCCATGGTATATCGACAGGTTTCCGTGAGTCTGACTTCTTAAAATATATATTAATGATCAAACTGGGGGCTAGAAGGAGATTCTTGGAAGTCTCTAAAAAAAGCATAGTTACACATGTTACATGTAGTTAATATAGTAATAAGTAAGGGATGTGCATCCAACCAGTAGTTATTGCAGAATAAACCCTGACATGGAGATTGCATCCCCATTTCACATCAGTAAATAATTAAAGGGGTCATATGAGAGAGGCGGGCGGGCTTGAGAATGGCGCGGCCGGCGGATTCGACGAAGGAGCGTCCGGCGGGCTTGCGGCAACCACATGTGACGACCCCGGGCTGGACTCCGCTTCGTCCACGGTGAAAGCCGATCCGGCGATCCATAGCACGAAGTTGATGTATTTCCTCAGCGACCAGCACGGATCAGCTCCAGGCATGACGAAGCAGATATCGTCCTCTTTTGGAAGACCAAACAAAGTAGTTTCGCTTTCACAACGAAGCACACAGCGCCTTCACGACATGGCGGCGGCGGCAACAACAATACTACAGCGAGAATAAAAGTTACGCCTTCTTTCTTTGCGTGAACATTTGGGCGGCATTATGAAAATCTTCCCACATCGTGACGTAGACGTGGGGGCGTGTTAGAATTTTTAAAACAAATTTATGTTTTATGAATACTGTGAATTCGGACATACTAGTCTTTTCACATACTGTTTTCACCTCCTAAATAGGGAAGTAAAATAAAAACCTGTAATATATGCTTTTCTCTATTAGAATCTTTCTTGCTTATATTGTAGTATCTTACTCATAAGCAAGAATACGTCTTTAAAAAGTGTTCTCCTTTTATCGCATTTTTCTCTAGATACCCTAAACTTCCTGTGTCTTTCTGCGGGAATGAGAGATGGAATTACAGTTGCTTCAATGGTGGGAATTGCTCTTCTGTAGAGCATAATTGTGACTGTCTACCTGGATTCACTGGACAGTGGTAAGAATATAAACCCACAGAGGTTACCACAGTGAATAGGCTGAAAATATTCAGAAATCATTCTAATATGCTGATTTGGTGCTCATGAAACATTTATTATTATCAATGTTGAAAACAGTTGTGCTGCTTCATATTTTTGCGGAAGCTATGATTATTTTGCAGCATTCTTTGATGAATAGAAAGCTCAAAAGCACGGCGTTTATTTGAAATAGAAATCTTTTGTAACATTATAAATGTCTTTATTGTCAATTAAATGAATAAAACGATTCATTTCTTTCAAAAAATAAAAATGTTGAAGGGTAATGTATATACACACACACACATACAAATAAATATACTAAAAAAGATATGATTAGCATAAAAATACCTAGCACACACAGATGTTGACTGTAATAGTCCATTTCACTTTAAGGACTATTTTATGTCTCATTCTGAATGAGTGCATTTAAAATTTGGCCAAAATGATCTTATGAATGATCTTAATGGCTCTGTCTAAGCTAGCTATAGTAAAGCTATTATTATTTATAATACTTGAATGAACACATAACTAGTCCTGCACTATTTGTACTAGTACTACAGACATGAATGACACTTCAAAGTGCAGCTCATCAAAGAGAATTGTGCTATTAGTAATCAGACTATTAGTGGCAGCTGATTTAATAAAGGAAAAAATCCCATAGACTTGTATAGAAGGAGGGAGCTACAAACTTTTTTCAGAAAATGCAATCATCTAGTTTTTCTGCCTACTTTTTGGAATGTGCCATGAGATGGCCTTCACTGGTCTTCTCTCCATCTAAATGACTGATTCTCTTTGACAGGTGCGAGCTGGAGCTGGATGAATGTGCATCTGACCCCTGCCTTAATGGAGGCTTCTGCTGCAACCTGATCAACAGGTTCCAGTGTGTGTGTGAGATGAGCTTTGCAGGTGATCACTGTCAGATCGACGTCAGCGACTTCTACGTCTATGTGTTCCTGCTCCTGTGGCAGAACATCTTCCAGCTGTTGTCATACCTGATTTTGCGTTTAGATGATGACCCAGAGGTTGAGTGGAACGCAGCCAATGATGACTAGGACTAAAAACAGTTTCTTCCCAGATGTGGGCTGATGGATACAATACGTGAAGGTCTTTAAATATCATTAAAGGTCATTATGGGAAGTCGCAATCCTTTTTTTCTTTTTTTTGGACAAAATGTAGATTAAGAAACATTCAGTGAGAATACCAATATGTGATTGGTTGTCTGCTAATGGAGCAGAGAAAATGAAGCATTTTAGAATAATACTGATATTTAAAGGGGTCATCGGATGCTACATGCACTTTTACAAGTTGTTTGAACTGAAATGTGTGTTGGCAGTGTGTGTACACAACCACCCTAAAATGATAAAAATCCACCCAGTGGTTTTTTGTTAATCTACTAAAATCTTTACCCCTTTCTCAAATCGAGCCGATCTCAGATGCCTGTCTGTGTGACATCACACAGACAGGCCCCTCCCACGATAGTTTGATTGACAGTAGCGTTTCAGCACAGACTGGACTGGTGTCTTAAGCCCCGTTCACACTAGCAGCGACTTTTGTCGCTGCAAGTCGCCAGGGGCTGGCGATGAGGTTGCTAGTGGGCGTTCTCAATACTGGTTGCCTTGACAGCGAGTCAGGTTTCTTGCCGCTAAGTACAAACATTTTGGAGGCAAAAGACTAAATATAATCTAAATCCATCTGAGCCGCTGAAGACGCAGTGGATTACGTTTGTTTCTGAAGGGATTGCGCCCCCGATCTACATAAATGCGTCTATGTTCGCGCAAATCATTCGTGATCCAGCCTCATCTACAGGAGAAGTGAGTATAAGGTTTTTTTGAACAAATCTTTGCAAATCGCCTTTCCTAATAATACGCCAAGTTTCACGATGAATGCGGAACAGTCTCTCTGAGAGCGTCTCGGAAGAAAGGGGCGGGGTCAGCAGAGCTCATTAACATTTAAAGGAAAATGCTACAAATCTGCTTGCTCTGAAAAGAGCTGTTTTTGACAGGGTAAAAAAAGGTGTTTTTTACACTACCATTGAGACATTTTAACCAAACTATGTTACAGACTTTTCATTAAGACCCTAAAGAATCATATCAACTTGTGGAAAATGGGCATCCTATGAGCCCTTTAAAAAAATCTCAGATCTGTACACATTGTAGCATCTGCGAGTGAAAGGCTTTACGTGTGCCTTCCTTTTCCTCATAAATATCTATTTTTGAAAATGTTCTCAAAATGTTTCTCATAACATGTGCACACCACTAGAAGAAAATGTGGTTAATCATAATATGTATAAAGCCCAGTGTTATGAAATACTGTCATATTCTGATCATAAGGAAAGCATGGATTTGCACATCATTAAATGCTTTTTTCTTTTCTTTTTCTGGAGTCAATATTTAATCCTGGACTTTTATACCTAAGTGTTCAAATGACTGCTTCAGCTTTCCATTATTTTCCATTATCAAACCTATATAGCAGATGTCTTTTGCAAATCTATTGAACTATTCACAAAAATAAGAGCATCACCAATATTTTTGTAATAAATGCAACTAACAGACATGATAATATTTTTCTAGCCAGCAGCTGTGAATATTTTTAGTTTTATGAATTTGAGACTGACAGCATGTTTCATACTGAATGAATGACTGTTATTTTGTTTTTGAGATTAGAATATCACAAACTAAAAGAGATTAAGTTCTTTCTTCAAATGAAATTATGGGGAAATATAGGCCATAAAATAGCATGCGACTCTTGATCAAATCAGGTTTGCAAGCATCCCTTATATTGTTGACCACTGTGCAGTAGTTGAACTGGATTTCTGCAATAGTCAGGCAAATAGAGTCACTTCAGAAAAACAAGTTTGCATGAAGTTATGTTTGCTTTGCATTGCTGGGTGTTCGAGAAGCACTAGAAACAGCAAAACCGTTTTTTTAGAAGTATAAAAGTAAGTGTTTGAAATCTGACAAACGTTTGCAAAAAGGCTTTTACTTTTCTGATTATATTTGTTGAAAATGCATGAACTCTTAGCATGAAAACAAGCGGGAGGTTTTCATTCAGGCTCCATTCATGTTCGTTTTATCATCAAGGACGTGGTCAAAGTTTAAAAGCACCCCTGCTTCCCCAAAACAAACTTTATTTTGAACATCCACTCTCGTTTACTTTGGCACCCAAAGTTGGTTCATTGGAGTCATTTACGTAACAGAAACCAGAATGTCTTTACATTGACCATGTGGTCAAGACTAAAGTACAGCATATATATATATACAGCAAACCAAACCAGGTTACCCTCTGTCCGCATATTCGCTTCAGGATTTCAGGTTATTACTGTTCAGCATGCAGCTCTGCGCTACGTTCACTGTTCTCGGGCTCCTGGTAATGGGGTCACGGGCGCAGGGGGTGATGCCCAGCGTTAGCTTCCCTCCCTGCGATACCCCGGAGGCTGAAGCAGCGGCTCTGGTGGCACAGGATTTCCTCAATGCTCAGCACACACACGGTTACAAATATGTCCTCAATCAAATTGACAAAATCAAGATCGTCTCCATGGTAAGATAACGGATGATCGTGAATAATGCTCGTGTGATGGTGGTTGTAACAGTCATGTGGTGTATGCAAGTTAGTAACATTGGCTTTAAAAATGTAGATATGATATGATTATTTCGTCCACTGAAATGGACGAAACATAACATCCAGTTTATGGAATTCATACAGTATTTGTGATGTGCTTCTGAAAATGTAACATTGTGATCAAATTTGTTCTATAAACTAATGTTTTTATATCTACACAACTATTCAAAAACGTTCTCTTTTACATAAATTTAGCAGATTATACTACTGGTATAAATGGGGCTTTTAAGATTCAAATGTCTTTCTGAAGCCACTTCAAGCGGACGCGTATCATCTGGAGTTGGATTTGCTGGAAACTACGTGTCATGTCTTGGATCCAACGCCAGTGAGCCTTTGTCCAGTCAGACAAAAAGTTAATACGGTGAGAACTAACTTTATTTGTATGTGTACTTTCGGAAATGTTATATTGCAACTAATTAAGTATCTTTCTGGTTCTCTTCTAGGCAGTTGAGGCAGATTGTGATTTTGTACTGGCAAATACAACTCAAGGTCTGTCTGTGGTGGCATTCAAGTGTGAAACCGAGACAGGTAAGAGGACAAAAGAGCACTGTAAAACAAATGCACTTGTCATCTGATCACAGAGAGATGTTTTGTTTTTTTGTTGTGTCTAGAATCAGCTGAATGCTTAGGCTGCCCTCAACTCGTTCTTTTAAATCATACCGATGGCCTCCGACTCATTGAATCCTCTTTAGATTATTTCAATAAAAATAATACTCTAAACACAAAGTTTGCACTCCTTGAAATTGGACGCATAAGATCCCAGGTAATGTACATGGAGTACTACAAATTATCTTTAGACAATAAAGCTCCCAATAGACAATATGGTGCTGTTTTCTCATTTTTTTGCAGATTGCCAGTGGTGGACCCAGGTACTTTGCAGAATATGCCATTATTGGGACAAACTGCACAAGTCAAGATGATGATATATGCATCCCTCAGAATCACGCTGTTGCTGTAAGAAAATGGAAAAATCTTTGAGAGAGAGAGAGAGACTTTGGCTGGTTTGGCTTTGTGTGTCAAAGTCAACGTGAAACCGAATGACCCTATTTAATTTCTGAACACACTTTCCTGGCTTATTGTGCATAAGACATTGGTGCTAAACCTTTGAAGCGACTTGACTTTTCAGATGATCTCACCAAACCCTCTTCATTTTTAAACCCCACCCCGTCCAACTGCCTCTCTCCATTCTGCATGCCCGCTTTTCATGATCCAGTCAAATCCCACGCATAAAATCAAGTCTCGTCCTACATTTTTCTTGTTGAATATCCTCTTTTGCTCAGAAATAACATCAGATTACAGAAGCAAAATGGCTTGAACCGTCTTTCATGTTGACTTCAAAGTGTCTAATCCGTATTTGTGACTATTTTTAGATCCATGGCCTCTGTCTAGCAAAAGGTTCTGCCAATCTGAATGATGTTGACTGCAAAATCTTTGGCCCAGTAAATATCTCTTTATTATTTCACATTAACACAATGTGCACTTACAATGTAAAACACTGTAAATGTTGAAAATGCAATGACTGCCTTTAATCAATAATTTGATTATATTAAATCAGAGACACAACCTGCAGTGGTAAATTTATTGTATTTGTTCTTCATCAGAACTTAATTACTGATCAAAACGTAAAACTTTGAAACGATTGAAATCAAAACGTAAAACGATTACATTGTTAAAACGTAATCATGTAGTGAAAGGGTAACTTTTTAACCTTTTTTCTGAGTGTGTATAGGGCCTTTCGCACCGCGGGAACCTTTTCATAGTACCAGAACTAATTGTGGAACTACCCACTTTTTGGCGTTTTCGCACCGCCGGAACTGGGTGCGATTTTAGTACCGGACTGCCTTTTTCGAGAACCAAATTAGCTCCTACTCTGGAGCAGGGTTTCGCGCAAAATCGTCCCAGTACTTTAGTATTGTACATTTAGTTCTGGAACTAAAGCGGTGCGAAAGGCCCTTATGACTGGCCCCAGTCATCCACCAAACAGACTGCATTTCCGTTTGGCACCATTATTGGCATAGAAATTACATCCTTCACCTTTAAACCTTAAACTCAGATTAAGCTAAAGTTAGACACACTGTACAACTTTATTAATTCCTTTATTCATGACAGACCCCAGCTGTGGATCCAGCAAGCACCGCCACAGTGCGAGTCCAACAACTTCTGCATGCACACACCTTTGGACCTCAGCACAACCCTGCCATCCACGGCCTCAAACATCACAAGCTGACAGCACTCCATGACCCCTCGGCCAGCGGTCTGCTCTCTGCAGAATCCGCTGAATCAGCCGAGGTGGTGATGGCGCCAAAGGAAGCTCCTGTTGTAAAGAGGGAGGTCGCTGCAACAGAAGGGCCAGCAGTAGATGCAGCAGTGTCAGAAAAAACAGCTGTTCTTTCAGAGCCGATTCTCCTTGCTCCCATTTGTCCAGGAAAAAAGAAACATTTCTGACCTGGTCAAATTTCACGACCGCATACAGATGACATTAACTCATCTTGTTCGGAGGTAGCCACCAAACTCATAAGTGCAGTCGGTTAGGAGTAAATGTTTTATAACAAACCTGGCCTTCTTGTTAAGGAAGCAATAAAGGCTGTGCCTGTTACTATGGTGCTGTAATAAAATGCAAATGTTTATGAGTCCGTGTTTAGTGCATTTTGTAATCAATAAGCAGTGTTTTCACCTTAAGGAATGGTGAAAATAGTTAGA